CAAATTTAAATAAAATCCAAAAAACCACGTTTCTGTGTCAGTCAATGAAAAATTTCAAAACTAATCATCCGGTGCTTTTTGCATAATTAGTTGTCGCCAAAATATATTTTTTTTTGCTCGAAAAATTCACTTTCTTTTGAAAAATAAGACACATGGGTCTCTATGCAATTTTTTTCCTATTACTATTATGTATCTAAAACTGAGAGGAAAGAAGAAAAGAAACATTTAAAAGGCATTTTTTCAACTCCGGAAAAATATAGTGATTGTTGATTATTTTTTTTGCATTCCAAAACACAAAAACGAAGGAAAAAAATATAGTAAATCCAAAGAAAGAAGTTAAATTGTGTTGTTATTTATTTAAATCATTGGCGTTGGTAATTTGAAGAATTGAGAAAAAGTGAAAGTGATTTTTTTTGCCTTTACAATTTCTTTCTTTTCTTTCTCTCAGCCGATACTTCTCTCACACATGTGCTATATAATGGAGAAAAAAAAAATACTGAGCTTAATGTCCCCTCTAAGCATAAATTCCATTATAACTTACAAAATAAATATTGAAATCAATTTAAGCTTCTATCTTTGCGCTCGTAACTTTACAGCAATAAAAGTTTATTGAATAATTTCAAAATATCCACCATGATCCGAAACGATCGACAGATACCTAGATAGACAGATAGATGGATTGAATGGAACTATATAGATGTACATCATATCTATATTGATGATATAAAAATTTACTATACATGTATAGGTACGCTCATATGCTTGTGTATATTTACTTAGCTGCTTTGTGCAAACACTTTCGTCATCAAACATTCCAGAGCTGCTGAGTTATATATATATAGATATATATATATATATATATATAACTTTAATTGACATTTATTTTCATATAGACTCACAAATGAGTCGATTATTGCAAATTGAAAAAAATTATTTCGGTTCGGAAGGTATTTCACACCCGAATTGTATAAAAAAATGGTTGAGTCACGATTTCATTTCACGTATGGATTTATTTTTTTGCAAATGACGAAAATCTGCTGATAAATGAAGTGAAAAGAAGTAGTCTGCGTGTGAAATGTGCCTGATATCATGTAGACAGATTTTTTTATCAGCAAAAAGAAAACTCAATAGTAAGAAAATAGCTTTAGATTATAGGAAATTGCATTCAAAAAGGTCAAAAAATGTTTTGCGAAAAGGCATTTCTGATAAGCGAGAAAGAGAAAAGCAAAGCTTTTCATTTGTATGCGGAAGAAGGCGTAGATTATTCCACATGTTTACAACTTTTTATTTTATTTCTGTTGCTGTCGTATAAAGTTTAAAAATTAAGGAAGGGAAATTTCACTATTTACTCTAGAAATTCCTTCGTTATCAAATAAAACAAAACGTTATCAGGGCGATGAAAACACTTGCTGAATAAATACTTGAGAATTAAAAACATTTGACGATCATAAACAGAAATGAGAAGTCTTTAATTTTGGAAATACTTAAATTCCTCTTCTGTTTCTTCTCTTTTATTCAACAAAATATTTGCACAAGTTTTTCGGATAGTTTTGAATAAGAATTAATTAAATAACAATGCTCGTGTACAGCACAAGTGAATTAGAACTATTTAAATTTGGCAAATAAAATTCTTTTCATCGATGATTAAAAATTTTATTTTTTTGGGTTGCAAAATTCAATTTTTATTCCATATTCAAGGTTACTGACTAATAGTTCTTGCTGTTACGTAATATTCTTTGCTCAATAAAATCAGCAAATTGATTTGAAAGTTGCGCTTAAACAAGATTTTATCGTCGACAGATTGGAAGTATGAAATTGCTCGAAGCTATTCAGAAAATTTGGGACAAATTCTTGCGACTAGAATTCTTCATAGATGATTCATTGGAATGTTGAAAATATGTGAATGTAATTTATCTGGGTAACCCAGATTAGATTTTTTGAATTTTGGTTTTTCGAATAAGAAGTTTCTTAGCAGTAGGTGCTGCTTCGTGTAGGATGGCAAATACTTCAAATGAGAAATGAATGAACTTTTTGAGAGATTATGATTGATAGAATTTGGAAATTGTTCAAAAATAGATTTATAGACAGTTTACTTGCTGTGCTTTAGGAGATTCTTAGTTTTTTTGTTACTCTATGCCAATAATCAAAAATGTCAATTGAAAGGGATCTTTTCAGTAAGGTTGGATGCAGACTTTTATTAAATCAATGCTATGACTTTGAGTAGTTAATTATAAACTTAATCATCAAAAAGTTAAGAAGTTCTCAAAACCCAATTTCATCTCAAGTATTTTAAATCCAGAAGAATCCATTAAAGCGCAGTTATATTGAAATTAAATTTCTTTGTAGACCAAAACGTTTCTGAATCTAGGTTCAATCTAAAGAGTTAATGATAAAAAAATTTTGGACAAAATATTCCGCTACAAGACACATATTCTCACCTTGACATTAATGCAACCTCAAATTTTAAGCCAATTCAAACAACGATTAAATCTATCGGCTTAATTAAATTGCGCCTAAGATTTCACAGTATGAAAAGTAAATGAATTTAAAGACTTTAATCTCTATCTTTCCCGTTTACTTACAAAAAAAAAAAAATATCAGTAGCATACTAATCTACATCCACTCCTCCATTTATTGCCCCTTCATTTTTATTTTATCATCCAAAGGCTAATAAATTTTTTTATTATTGATCACTTAAGTTAATTACAGTTTATATACACACAGTCATCAGGCACCGAATTGAAATAAGATAGAAAAGACCACAATTTTCTTCTTTTACATCGCCTATTAAGTTTAACTATTTAGTTATGCAGGCAATAAAATAATTAATTTAAAAGCGTCAATAATAAGTAGAAGTGGTTTTGTAAGTTGAAACTAAAATATAATCATAATAATAATAAGCAAGAAAGCATGCAACAATTTTATCGACAAATAGTGAAATAAAAAAAAAACAAAAAAAGAAGAAAAATGAGAAAAGAAGCATAAAGAGAAATAAAAGTATAGGCAATGTGCCTGCTTGTTATTAGTAAAATTTTAAAAACAGTAAGCAGTTGCTGGTACATAAATGAATTTATTGGATATCTATCTATAAATATCAACCATCTACTATATTCACACACATATATCGTGTGAATGTCGCATTTGAATTAACTGGAGACAGAGATGGAAAGAGAAAGAATTTAGAGTATAATAAGTAGTTTGTATCATTTTTATGGGGTCACTGAAATGAAATTTATACCTCTTTGTATCTATCTACATTCATACATATTAAAAGAGTGAAAGAGACCATCGAACATAAAAAGATGTTGTCGATGGCGCCACAATTTGATTTTAATACGTTTTTGCATTCCTTCGATTGATTAATGAACCTATATAGCTATAATCTAGTGAAAGAAAACGGAACGATATGATTACAGTTTAATACATGTGTGTACGACACAGCTCCACATATTTCTCTTTCATCATTATAGTTTCTTGACTTTGTCATATAGTTCTTTAGGTGAAAATTAAGTCTAGATGCATTTTGTCTCTGCAGTGATTTAAACTCTCTCTATTTGAGATATTTCTTTGCCTGTAAATTAAAGGTATAATCAAGTTTTTAAAAGAATCTTTTCATGTCTTTGGGTTTAAAATTTTTCAAGGATGAACAAATCTTTCAGAATAAATTTTAATTTGAATTATGCCATATTATGTCTCAAGGCTTCCTTTTGGGTTTGAAAGTGATTAAATATCTGAAATATTTTAGTTTATGACTTGATTGACATTAATGATGAGACCATGTAGAAAATGCTGAATTCGAATCTTTAAGATAGGAATAAAATTAGTCTGAATGCTGACCTTGATGGAATAGTGTTAAGAATTTAAAAGCTTAGTTTTTGAAGTAAACTTTAAGTTTTATTTAATCTACAATATTCTAAGTCAATACAGTGGTTCATTGCACACCTCACAAAATCGATTCCTGGACTGTTTGAGTTTCATTAAAAATGTTGAACTCTTCGAAAATTAAAATTTTTATTCTGGAATATTCCGAAGAAAAAAAAATCTTTAAAATACAGAAAAAAATGCTCTCGGTAGACACGAATCTACAGACTGCGATGAATTTCTTACTTTATTTCTTTCATAGTCAATCTTTAACGCTCACATACGGCCTGTAATGAGACTTAACAGAGGAATTTTAATATTTTTCTCTTCTTTCTTTCTTTATTACTTTGGTATGGGCTGTTAATAGTTTCATTTATATTACTATTCATACAGAAATTGCGACAAAAAAAGTTAACATTTAATATTTTCATTGTTTTGTTAATAATAATAAAAGTTTATATCCATTAAGGAAACTTTTTTGAATTAAGTGCGAGTAAAGGAATTGGAAAAATGGGGGAATTTTGTTAGTCACAAAAAACAATTTCTTTTCCTCAATTTTAAATCCGTTACGTCAATTTTGAGTCTATCAAGTAATTATCGTTTTATCTATGAGAGATTTACGAAAACCATAGCTTAATTCAGAAATTAACACACACAAATACACAACGCACCGCAGTATTATTTGATATATTACAATAAGACATTGTGTCTTCGCTTACATACATTTTTCGCATTCCTTTAGAATGAACTGTTCATTTGTTACGGCGCATATAACTCATTTCTATAAATACATGTCTTATATACACATATGTGAACTTAAAGTAGCATTGAAGATCAATTTGTCGTGAATGAATAAGAAATGTCTTACTGTACATATCAAGTGCATGAAACATACAGAAAATATGCCAAAAAATATATAAATACACATGTATTTCATTGACTAGCTCGCCTCACTCGTGATAATTAATGGAAATTTTTTTTTTATTTATATATTTTCTTTCGCTAAAAATATTCCTCATCTCCAGCGAAGAGAGTGAATTAATGCTTCTCGGAACTACTTCCAATTGAATGATGATTTTAATTAGAATGAAATTATTAATTAAATCAATTATTGCATTCCGCACTTTGTTTATTTATAGAACATTCTTTATCGATTGGGGGTTTGATGTTAACGGGAAATCTGATATCGGGGAATGGTATGTAGCATTGTGATCATTTATGGGTCTATGTTATATCTTTGGGGTCATCGATAAAGTCATTATTGTGCTAGGTTAATCATTATCATTGCTTAGAGTAGTAATAAGAGCGAAAATCTTAGTTGATTGGTTCAAATCCTAATTTATATTCTTTAACTTCCTTTACTCATCTGCTTTTAAAACTAGATCAAACTAATCTTAATTCCCTGCCATCGCTATTATTCGTATTATTGAAAAATTTAAACGTAATCATTTAAGACATTCCAGAATCTAGTTCTAGCAGGATTTGAGTTATCACATGCGCAATTTGAATAAATATTGACTTGTGCAAAAATAAAGTCTCAAAAAAATTTAAATATTTTAAACAAATAATGTTTCAAGTGTTCATGAGAATATGCTAATGATTAGAAAAGTAGTTGTTCCAAAGGAATGCAAAGTTTGTGATGATAAATTTTGTTCATTATGAAATTGAAATGTTTTGCATTTTAATCGTGCGTTTTATAAAGAATTTGTTTAAGAGTATAGTTCTGAATAGATTAAAGTCACATTTTTTCATACGACACGTTTATTTTTTAGTTTGAGATACAATGTAATCTCTCAGTTGAATAACAACAGATGGTAGTTGACATAATTTGATATTCTTTTTATTGGAGACGGATTTATTACAATCAGATCTGTCTGTATTTGAAGAATGCTACAAAGGAAATATTATTGTGTTATAAAGTCGTTGCTACTGTATCAGATAAAATTGCAAAGAATTAATACATGTAGATAAAATAACCGGAATGTTCTGCAAAATCAATAAAGCTATTAAACTTAACTTATTACTGAGAAAATGAAATCTGCCGGAAACATTCAGTCTGAAGTCGAAAATACGCCTTCAACTAATTATCAAGTGTAAATTCCATCGAAATGATTTAAAAATAATCCACTTCAACCTGTGTGTTTTTCACATTTAATTCCTTTCATTAATTTCCTTTATTTGGATAAGAGATTATGGAAAGATAGTTAATCATGATGAAGAAAAAGAAGTGTTGGAATGTTATCATAAACTTACAGTTGAAATGTATAGACCTTGACAATTGTTATTTTTTAAAAAGAAACTCGCCTCAATGATCAATACGCTGCGTTATGAGCAGCATATTTTGACCGAATACGTGCAAAATTGTCGGTAGCTGGCCAAGGTTGATGTAGTCATTGTGAATTTTCGAATATTTTTTCTGTTAATTGCTCGAGAGGCTTTTTTTTTATTTTTTTGCGTGCTGTTTAAACACTCATCTAGTCTCGTGGACTAAAAGCAGCCAGACGATTTAAAAGTTCACATTGTTGACCATCTCTGTATTATAGGTGTGCTCAATTGTGAAAAAGAATGTGGTTCAAACCTTATTTCTCTCACTTACGCGAACGCTTTTTCTTTCTTTCCACATTTTTTATTTTATATTCCCTCTTTCGCTGCTTTGAAATGGCACATTAGCTATGGGAACTTAATTTTTTTCTTCTTCTTTTTCTTCATTTCATTACAATTATTATAGTGTGGAAAAATAAACGCGTAATTTATTTAAATATATTTATAGTTCTGTTCATTCCACATTCTTTTCATTTTAAATGGGATGTGTGGAGTTGATTGTATTTTGTCTGTTTTTCTGTGTCGGGGATGACCAATAGTCTGGTATTTTTGAGACTAAAATATCTGATATGAGTTATTGTGTTTGTATTTTGTGTGAATTGATTGATAAGGAATTTGTTGAGTGACAAAATAAGCAAGATTTTACTTTTTTCACATTTCTTTAAAGATTTTTGAATTCTTTTAAGATAGTTAAAATTTACATTAAATTTTTAAATGATTGAAAATGTTAAAAATATCGAGCACCCTTAAAAATGCGCCAATGTCGAATGAATGTCTTGTTATTATTAGGTATTTCAAGGAGTAGTTTAGTCATAAAAAAAAGTCAAGAGAAATATTTTCATTGTATACTTTCCGGCCGCTTTTTAAAAAACGAGTAGTAGTAGAAATAGTAGTAAAGCAATGAGTAAGTGGAGATGTAGAGAGAAGCGAATATATATAAAAAAATGGTTTGTTGCGGCACGTCATCAGCAATGGAATGCGATAAAACGTTTTATTTATTGTTTCTCTTATTCTTTATATTCAATTTTTTTTGTATACACTTTTTTTGTGTAAGCAAATCCACATGACGAAGTTCAACTTCATCTCTTTCTTTTCAATTTAAATTTCTTTTAACAATAGTCATTCGCACGTTCTTTTTTTTTGCTCTTCTTCTTCCTACTGCCTTTTTATGTCCATTTATATGTTCACATTCTTTTCTTTATACTTCTTATTTTTTTCGGGGGGATTTATATTTATGGATGACATTTTTTCCCTCATTTAAAACTTTTAATTGTATTATTATGTTTTGTGTACCTAGCAATAGCTATAAATATAAACAAGTATGGAGAAGTAAATTAATCACAATTTTTTATGACATATGTATGATGTTGATCATCATCAAGATGGAATTCCATGAAGAATTCTCGATCTATAGCAACAGTCAAGAACAATAATAATGATTTTTATAGTAAAAAGCACATTGTGCCTTCCTTACAACAACAAAATAAATTCCTACGATATACACATATTTTTTTTTTGTTGAAATAAATGAAATAAGAAATCTGTAGCTGTATGTATATGTTATAATATGTTGTTGGGATCTTTTTTTTATTTTGTATATAAAAATTTTACAGTTCATTTACTTTGTTTGGAAAGAGCTTAAAGAACGCTATAAAAACACAGAAATTCTTTCGTTTCTCCATCTCCTTTTCACCTTCATCATTCCGTCCTTCTCATGCTCATTATTAATATGAAGAAATCCATGAGATGAGGCAGGTATAGGTGAGCACGTAAAATTTTACTTTTTTTTTCCTTTCATAAAAATGATCGCGTTCACATACACACAGACAGTCACATTATATGTAAGCATTAATATTTCAGTGTTCTATTTCATTTTTGATGACAAAGCTTTTATTATGCAGATGTTATTTTAAAAAAAAAAATTATAAAAATTCTTTCACTTCTTCTTCATGCTTGAATCATGATCAAATGAATCTTATTTCATGAACTTTATTTTGTGTTGTTACTTCTAAATCGTCGTCTTTAACTCAATTAAGCGTCATTAAATTCCTACTTTATGACCTCACTCATTGTTCTACATTTTATTTTCCTCTATTTAGTGCACTTTATAACGTGTAAATTGCATTCGATTGAACCTCTTCGTACTGAATGTTTTTTATTTTATTGTAGTTGAATGATTGCAATTGCTTCAATGGAATTTATTAAGTAATCTAAATGTTTATAACCGGATAGTAAAGAATCTTCTTGTGATGTACTTAAAAATTTAAATGGTGTAAATTGTGCAATGGTTTTAATGATAGTCAGGCTGGATATATATACAAATAAGATAATTCGATATAAGATTAGAGTTCAACTCCTAATTTTAAACCTTTAAAAACAAATCCATTAATAATCTCTTTAATCTACTTCAATTAGGTACACAAAGCCAGAAACATTCGCCGATTGCATTGGCAATGAGCTACCATTAGGATGGGAGGAATCATATGATAACCAAATCGGTGTATTTTACATCAATCACAATAATCAATGCACACAGTTAGAAGATCCACGACTAGAATGGAGAGATATGCAAGAGCAAATGTTAAAAGAATATATGTCATCGGCAGAGGAACAGCTTGAAGCGAAAAAGGAAATCTATGATATAAAACAGCAGAGATTATTATTAGCACAAGATGAGTATAATCATTTAAATGCATTAGCAACAAGTCGTACGAGTTTATGTTCATCGGCGAGTTCATGTAGCACAAAATTCGATCCTGATCTGTTGCGTGCTGATCTTGCGTTGGCAAAAGAGCGCGTGAATCGATTAAGAAAGGAAATGGCACGAATTCAAAATGAAATGTCATACACACAGAAGGGCGTTGAGACACTACATAGTGTCGAGCAAAAGCTCAGTAGTCATCAAAATGGATGTTATAGTATAAATGAAGCACAAGCCATTATGGAGGAAGTAAAGAAAATTCAAAAGTCATTACTTTTGGGAGAGAAGGAGAAGAAAGAACTTATGCATAGTTTAGCGCAAGTCAAAGAAGACCTCACACGTCTTCAATTAAGACAAGAGAGTCCCGATGCAAGTACGTTTAACTTGAACGATCGTGTCTCGGCTGCATCGCAAACTGACATTTGTCTTGATGCATTTCCAATTGGCGCACGTGAGATGGCAAAACTTCGAATGAAATATGATGAATATCGTAAGAAAGTGAAAGATATACAAGAGAAATTGGCAGCATTAGAAGAGAGAATAAGACCAGGTGAATTGGAATCTGATCAGGATCGATTGTTACTATTTCAAGAGAAGAAGCAACTTCTTATGGAATATCGTAGTATTTCACCTCGTTCACGTAGCGAAGACGAAATGACTAAAATCAAACAATTGTGTAAAAAATTAGAATCCGATTTAAATAATGCATATGAGGAATCCAATCAATGTATTGCATACCGATTAAAGCTACATGAAGAAAAGCAGATGTTGCTTCAAGAGTTATTGGATGCTTTACGAGAAGTAACGCATCTTGAGAATCAATTAAAGTCTGTATCAGCAAGCACGCTTTCAATAAGTAGTAGTGGCTCAAGTTTGGGTTCGTTATCGACAGCCAGCAGTAAAGGATCATTAAGTGGCATCAGCTTTACTGGTAAGTTTAAAAATAAACTTTTGAATGAATTGATATTTAATCATAAATTTACCTCTTTACTTTACTAGATATTTATGGTGATCCATTAATGACTGACCCAAGAGTCGATATGGTTGATTTATCACGACAAATTCAATACTTCCTTCCACCATCTACATCCGAAATTTCATTATCGTCTCGAAGTAGTCTATCGACAGCTGAAACACCACCTGCATCCCCACTCAAACAGGAACCAATGTATGAGAACGCACAAGAAGCATTGGCAGCAGCATTATTTGAGGTAATCCCATCGACATCGCAGCAGCAACAAAATATTTTACTTGACTGCAATAGACTTAAAGAACATTTACAAGAATATGCTAAACAGAAGCGATTATCACCAATTAATGAGAAAGGACTTCTTCATATTCCACAATCTGTCCTTAGTCGCTCATCGTCAGCATCCAATACAGTCTCAGCAGCTGTAAGTGATGAATCTGTTGCCGGAGATAGCGGCGTTTTTGAAGCATCTCGTGCATCAACACAAATCAAAGAATCAGCACAGATTCAAGTCACACTAAAATACCTTACAGAGGAATGTGCTTTACTCATTACAATCGAGAGAGCGAGAAATTTAACAGTTTTAGGATTACCTTCTGGTTGCCAATTGTATATTAAAGCTATTTTACTTCCTGCCGCGTCTGGAAATTCCGTAATTTTGCGCACAAAAACATTTAATGAATTTTTAAAGCCTGTCTTCGGCGCTAGTGTTCAAATACCAATCTCTTTGAGTAAAGTCTATACAAAGTCGCTTCAGATTAAAATTATGATGTTGCTTAGTCAAAAAGAGGATTGGGTGGTAAGTACTGAAAAGAGGTTTTGTGAATTTTTTATGATAATTAATTGTATTTCTTATTTAAATCATTAGGGAAGTGCTCAAATAAGTCTTGCAGAATTTAGTACACATCAAGATGGTAATAGTAAATGGTATAATATCATTAGTCGTGAAAATATGAATGAAACCGAGGTAGAAGAGAACTTAGTAGCAGCAAAAGAGGAGTCATCCGATGAGTCAACTGTAATATCCTCACAGACATCAACGTTAACAAGAAATCAAGGTAGATAAATTTGTTTTAATATCCACGATCAAAATATTAATAATAATAAATTTGTATGTTTTATAATAGGCCATGATGAAATGCAACAAGCAGTTTTAGCGATGAGCTTACAAGAGCAACTTAGTTATTGTAGTGATGAGGAAGAGAGTGACGAAGAGGAAGGAAATGATGAAGCGTGTGGAGGAAAATTAGATGAAGTTTACGATGACGGTAAGAAATAAAATTAATAATCATAACTATACAAATATCTAATTGTGAAATTTTATAGACTCTACAGCTCAAATGATTGAAACTTATATGAATGAAGTACAAAGTTATAGTGTTATGAATGTTGAAATTGAAACTGTCGATGCTCAAACAAATACAGAAAACTTGCCTGATTATCAACAACGTACACTTATGTTGAGGCTTCGAGAACGAACATCAGCTTCGACAAACTCATTACGTGATCCAAAAATTTATCCCATTGAGGATCGAAGTAGTTTAGTGAAACGTTCACAAACGTTCTCACCGAGTGTTGCTTGTAATAAATCTCGTTATATCTGTCGACGAAGTGATAGTGATAGTGCAATGCATTTTAATATAACAGCTGCAGTTTCCGCTCAGCCTCAACCTCATCCGTTCCGACGTGGTGCTGTCGAAAGAAGGTCATTGAGATATCATGGAAAAGCACCACGTGTCTTAGCAAGTAAGTTAACTTAACTGGAATGTGTAATTTGATATTTTGACTAATGTACCTCTTTAATTATATAGAATCTGCTCCTGGCTTGCCACCAAGAACCAGCATAGACTTAGAGCTCGATCTTAAAGCACAACAATCAAGACTAGAATCATTAAATGATCAAATAACGAAACTTCGTGAACTGAAACATCGTTTGGAGCAAGCACGAGATGCAAATGATATTCAAATTGCAAATTGGGCCTTAGAAAATGATGAATTTAAATCACTTATCAATGAATGTAATATCAACTCGGAGGAGGATAGGCGAGTACAAAAACTTTTCCGTAAAACATCAAAAGAGATTTACAAGTTGCGTAAAGCAAAAGTTGACAAAACAAAGCCAGATATGATTTCTTTTAAGTAAGTATCAAATGATATTTCTGAAATTTGGAGATTATTAATGATCTGAATCTTTTTATAGAGAAAAAATGGCATTCTTTACTCGTCGTGGAACGTCATTAGTACCTGAAATTCCTACAAATAATGCAACAAACAATAACAGTAATGACAGAGAAATCTCCGAAGAAGATGCAAGAAAATATAGCTATGTTTTAGATAGAGATGGTGTTGAAGTTTAAACAAAAAAGTAAAAATAAAAAAAAAACAGATTGGATGAACCAAAATATTAATATTTACAATATAATAGTTGCAATAAGTGCCTTTAACGTTTATTTACGATGTAAGTGGTAAAGCAATTGAGATAAAAAATTATTCTGTTCAAAGCTCATTATCTTCTTTGACAAATCAATTTGTAAATAGGAAAAACAAATTCTTTCATAAGAGGCTAAAAAATGCTTGAAAAAAATTATTAATGCTATTTTTGAATACTCTAATCTACAGGAAAAAAGCAATTACTATTCAATAAATATATTGGTCGATTTTAATCCATGGACGTTCAATTAATTCTAACGAATCAATAAATTTACCTAATCTATCGTCTCATAATCCTACAATAACATGAGCTTTTTATCATTATTAAATTTTATCAAATGCTTTTCATGATACTTCGTATACATAAAAAATAAATTTAAAAAAAAAATCAACACACACCAAATCTTAATGAAAATATATGATATATATACATACACAGCTCGTGCAATAAATTTGAGCTTAAGAATTGTTACTGTTATAAAATTGTTGTTAACTTCTTTTTGGTATTTTAATTCAAAAAGAATTTTTTTTTGTGAAAAAAAAGAGATATAAATAATTTATATATCGGAGTTAAAATTATAAAATTCAGATTTTATGTTCAGAAAATATGCGGAAATAATTAAGGTGCGACATTTTTGAGGAGTTTGTGCTGAGTTTTTATGGAAACGGATTTAAATTGGAATTTTTTTGGTAGCACTCAGCAGTGATGGAATACTACTGACCCTAAATTGCATTATCCTCCTCAAAATTTTAATATCAAACGATAACAATAATTGACACTGCCTTATAAATTCTTATCGCGGTAAAAATCAAAATTTTAATCAAATTTTCTTAAAAAACCGTAATAATTCAAAACCATATAAGAAAAATATGTGCCTTCCGTGAAAATAATTTTGCGTTATAGACAAAATGAAATAATTAAACGTATCTAATAATTTAAGATCTGATTTTATCTGTAAATTAAACACTATAGAAATATGAGAAAAAAATACTAATCAATTAATTGAAGAAAAAATTGTCAAGAAGCGAGAATGATGTTGTAAAATAGAAGTAAATGAATGGAGATAAGAAAAAAAATTGAAAATGAGAGATACAAATTAACTTAATTAGCTTCTAAGGATTTATTTATTTAATAGTAAGACCCTTCAATTTGTATGTATGTATGTATGTTAGGAATTTCTAGATTTTTATGCGATAATTTTTTTATTTTAATGTATAAATTAGATAGTGCTGTATATGTGTCATATTTTATTGATTTTAAATTATGAATTTTAAGTTTTTTATAGAAATTGTGAAAGGAAAAATGAAAAATAAAAAAAAAATCAAAAATCAAAAAATTTATTTCAAACAAATGAAAGCTTTATTCGATTTATTTTGTTTAAAATTGGTGTACACATTAATGTGGCTAGTGCAAAATTACAGTCCGCATCACAATTGAGAGAACAAGATAATGACTGACTCATTTTGACAATTTTATTGCAATTTACTTTATTCTACTGTTTGCAAATGACATCACTACATTCGGACAGAAGAAGAGGGATCCAAACTATTGAGGAACATCATCTATAAGCAGCTCTGATTTAAATTTTCTTATATCTTTTTTATTGCACTAATTTTAACAGCTGCTCAATTTTTACACCTGCTCAGTGATTGTTCGGGGAGTGACACATCTGAAAATTGATGCCAAACTGTAATTCCGTACAATTTAATTCAAAATACTAGCAATTAAGTTTAATTTACTAGCAATAACTTTTCAAAGTGTGATAATTCGTGTTCGTTTCTTTTCAAAATTTGCTGCTTTAAATCTTCATTGGCAGCAACATTGCACTTCTTAAGGTTCTTAAATAAATTTTCTCTAAACATTGTACTATGCGTTTCATTAATGTCTAGAAAGTAGGTGTTAATTTCTGTCAATTCTGAACAATTCTTTGAAATTTCTTGTAAATCCTCGTAGCACAGAGCATACGTTTCTATGGCTAAAACATTTGGTACAGATTTGAACAAAGTTGTTGAAATATTTTTGTTACATGAAGTGTCTTGCAGTATTAAATATTTGATTCGATTGTTTCGTGGTAGTGACACATTTTTCCAATCGATTTCCTTATCAGCATGTGATAATTCATACAATCGTAATTTTTCAAGATGCGGCATTTGAAAAACTAGTTTTAATGCCGTTAATCCAATCCAAACATCAAATTCAAGAATTTTGAGAGTGTCAAAGCTTTTCTGTAGAAAGCTCAGCAGACCAAATTTATTCTGATCAAAATTGTAATATCCAAAGTCGGATATTTCAAATTGCTCTAAAACAAATGAGGTATCTTTCGATAAAAGGTTTAGTGCTTCATCAACGGGTGCTTTTCTTGATAATTGCATAACAGAGAGCGTTTTGAGCTTGGAACATTTGACCAGCAATGGATGAATGAGAATCACGGGTATTGCTTTAACTTGTAAGGATTTAAGCTTCTTAAATTCTGCGAGATCATCTATTTCATTCAAATTTATGGCTTCAAATATAAGATCATCCAGCTTTAGTTCTTCTAGATGCTTGAGTGTATCAAGAATTATTTTGAATTCTCCGGTTGTCAATAAACAATTTTTTAACTCTAAACATCTGATTTCACAATACTTGGAAACAACAATAAAGATCTTCTGATAGAATCGGTGGTTTAAATTTAACTCTATGTTACGGTATTTCCTATCACTCTTTTCAATAATATCGAAATTAACTTCTAATAAACTATTAGTAACTTTGAGTTTCACTCTTTTAAGAAAAGTTAATGATTCCGTTGTACTTTTATAGTAGAACGAATTAATTGAACACAGACGTAACATATCTTGGACACTCAGGTGACTAAGAATTATATCGAAGATATGTGGTGTATTTGAAAAATACACAAGTGGATCTTTAATTAAAGAATCCATTTTTAAAAAGTAAAATTTTAAAATTTCTATTGTGTACAAACAAATCGAAACGAGATGAAACTGTAGAAACTTTGTGTTTTGAAAGAGTCAACTATTATTTGACGAAAGCAATGGTTGATTATCATTTTATTTCAAAACACAGATCATATGTTGTGAATTACTGAACGAAGAATGAGCTTTCAATAACAAATGTTTACATCCAGAATTACAAGAACCGTAATTGAATGATTTTGCAAAATTGGTTTATTACGTTTAGCTTAGTGAATTTTCTGGAAGAATTTTAAGTGTCTTAGAAAATCAAATTTCAGTGTTAAACTAAAATTCGATGTGAAAAAAACTTACGTTCCATAAAATTAATTACATAAAGTGATAAAACATTTCGTGATACACAGAATTAAATAAACCAGGCAAAAGGTGAGGTAGCATTTATGATTAAATATGCAATATTTTGGTTTTTATCATCAACGTTGTGATCACAAATAGATTTTCAAGGTAAAGTCTTCGAACATGTTTACCTTGATGAGAACAGTTATTTTGAGCAGTTCCTCTTAATAATTTTATATCCAACAAAAAAAAAAAAATTATCAAGAAATCATTCACACATCTCGAATGACATCTAATAAATCTAATGACCTAATATATCATCATACTGATAATAAATACAAAATATATAATATAAACACAAAACATCACAGGATCATCATCATCAAAAGCTAATGAAGCGAATACGCTGAATCATTTATTACGTTTGCCACAAAAATAAAACATTAATCGTCCATCGCTCGTGTAGTTTTTCTTTTAGGATATTTCACGAGTCTATGATGATCAATTAATGAGTGCAAATACATGTCTACCGAATCTTGTTTGTTGCGTAGTAAATTGCACATTTTTAATGTGGGTTTTGAAAAATTACCGCAACTGCACAGCGACTTTTGCTCCTGATTTTATTTTACTCGCTCATCATTAAATGTGACTTTTTATGTAAAATAAAATTAATAATAATTTCACTTCATACTCCATCTGAGCTAAATGAAAAGAAATGAAGCGTCTCCCTGCAGAGGAGTCAAGTATGTCACATTACAGTACAATATCCAAGCGACTGACTGATGAAAAGTAAAATAAGAAAAAACTAGAGGTGTTTCACTGATGACGATAGAAGAAAAACTTAAATAAAAATAAGAAAAGAAAATTCCTAAGTAATCGTCGAAGGAGAATATACATATTTTTTTCAGTTGAACTTATACATTGAGCAAAGTCGGTTTGAAGTAACGCAAAAAAAAATATTTTGTTGCTGTTTAAAGCGAAAAGGAATTTGCAAAGTTTAAAGAAAATTGAAAATAAATTTTTTGTGACAATTTTGGTTTTGCAGTATTGGAATAGTTGAAGTTGTTTCTGTGAGGAATTCAGTTATTAAATTTTTTTCGGGTGATAAAAGGTAAGAAAATTTGTAAATTAATTTGACTTTGCATTTGAAAATTGAAGTAAAATTAAAATTGCTTAAAAAATTGTAAACATTTTCATGCGAATTCTGAATCCTTGAAAGGTTAATACTAGGGTTAGGTTTGGTCCTTCAAAGTTATATTTTAATTAATTTTCATAACCCAGAACAGAAGCTAGGAATGTCCAAAACAGTGAAAATAACACAAAAAAGGAGCGAAAATTTTAAATTCCATCCAAACATTAAATATCTTTTATAAGCAACTGCCTGCACCAAATCCATAAGCCAAACATCCTCAAAATATTACTCTTAAATCCCATTAATCCACTCATAATTAAATGCAATATTTACCACCTCATAAACTAGATTCCCTTCAGCATCAATCAAACAAAAAAATTCCTTTAAAGAAAATCATTTGTTGATTTAATTCGAGAGTCAAAGCTGAATGAAAGGGAAATTAATTGCGAATTTTAAAGTAACTGGGTGATAATCATCAGACTTTAAGGATCAGCTGTTTTTTAAGTATTATAATTAGCTGTTATAATGACGCATTCTGCTTTGGAATAACTAATAGTTGATATATATCTTGCAGGAGTCGTAGTGGCTTATAGCTCTTATTTTTTCAAAAATGCTAGGCTCTACATTTAAACAAATTCTTATGACGTATCCTATTTGGATAGGTCAAGGAGTCTGAGGCTGTGAAAATATATAAGAATGCACACAATTGAATTTTGAACAAATGGAGAACATTCTAGAAACTTTAAATAACAAATATCCACAGAATCATAACTTAACTATGAAGCTCTACTTTTGAAACTAAAAGCCAAATCTTGTTGAATATTTTTGGAATGTTCAATTATTAAACTGCATAAAAACCTTCCAAGCAAGCCTTACTTCCCAAAAAAAAAAAAAAATCTCATAAAAGTCTAAATCCAAAGACATAAATATTGAAATATAGTCTCTGCTTTATTAAAGACACTCTACTTTGTGTACAAATACAACGAAATTTTCCTAATAAATCACAATTATTTCTTTTAAAGCTTACGATTTTAAGTACGTCATATTTTTTAGATGTTATCCCATAAAAGCTCCAAAAAGGAATTACCTTATGCCTCATAATTTATCATTTGTATTATTGCGCTGTATTTGCCATAAATTAAATCAAGTGCACATCTCCAACTGGGCATAATTTTCATGTAACAATAATAAAAATAGTACACTTGAAAAAATCAGGTGAAAAATCTCTCCTTACATAATATGTAGTATACAGTCGTTCGTTTATTTATAAACTTTTTGCTTTCTAGCATTTCATGAAACTCTATAATCGTAATAAATTTTAGAGTAGCAGCTCCATAGGTTTATGATATAAATTTCAAACTCCTCCGGGTCATAATTACTGGAGGAAATGCCAACTTAATAAAACGTTTCTAGTAAAATTGGATACAGTCCAATTTTTTAGGCTTAAAGAACTTTTGTAATTACAGTCGATTGACCTTCAGATTCTTTGTTTTGAAAAAAAAACCTGAAATTTGATTCTTCAGAATAAAAAAAATTTTTCTGTTTTGTTTATTTTACTCAGAAATATAATCAAGGATGGATGATTATGGTTGTCATAACGTCGAACTATACATATACGATATGACGCAAGGAATGGCGAGAATGATGTCACCACTACTTTTAGGTAAAATTATAAACATTATTCATCATTGTTTATTGCTGCCTCAAATGGAATTTAATTTTGATTTTGTATTTCTGTTCATTATAGGACGTCAAGTAGATGGAATTTGGCATACAGCAGTGGTTGTGTTTGGACGAGAATATTTCTATGGTAGCCATGGAATTAGTGCTGTTCCACCGGTGAGTTTTCTTCTTGATCTTTTTTTTTGTGAAAATACTTTTTAATAGAATTGCGTTATATACTCATGCATTTACTTCTCTGGTTGACTAGCTGATTGAGTATGTGTTCTCAAAACTTTTGCGAGGGAAAATAATAAACGTTTTGGGTAACTTGTTTTGGGTAACTTATTTTGTGTGGTGTTGGAGCAGAAAGGATTGGAGGTAATGAAAACTTACAATGCTTGATGGGCAATGATTGAGGAATTTTGAAGTTAAAATCTTAGCTCTATTCATGAAAATTACTTTAAATCTTGAACCTTCTCATTTGGCTATAATCCTAGTTATATGTGAATATGCCAGAACGAGATTAAAGCATCGGCAGTGTATTGAAAATAATAGACTAGAAATCTTTTGACAAAAGGTTCGATTCCCATTTGAGGCCGAGCTATTCAATAATTAATTGATTGATTAGGTCCAAATTCTAGACAATCGTGTAGAAAAGCATCACAAAATATTAAACTCAATCATCCAAAACGCTTTCAGCCATGAATCACAGTCAAAACAAATAGGAATCATGTGTGTGTAAATTTCAATTCGAATAATTTTAACATTTTTGTTCGCCAATTAAGATTTTTAAACATACTTATCAGTTGACGTTTAAATGCATTATAGTCACCCACGCATGGACATTGAAAAATAATTTTCCCACACCACATCTGCTGGCTATGATAATAATGAAGAAGTTTTTACTTTTCTCGCCTTGAATCAATTTTTTTTCGTATCGCAAAATATTGATGATAGAAATGTTAATGAGAAAATTTGACAAAATAAATTATAGAAGAGTCTTCTAATGCTGTCTCGTCTTGACAGTGATGCTTAAAGATTTCATGTCACTTCCTATATATTTTCTCACAAAATTCGTCACGATACAGTTTTCAGTTATATTGTTTAGTAAATGATGATGGGTTCAAAGTATATTTTAATAAATTTTGTGACAATTTTGTGTTTTTCTTTTTCACTGAGCGAGAAAATAAGTCTCTTTGTGGACTTTTTGTCTATGTTTATAATTTTCAATTTAAACGTAGTGCGGAAAATTCGTGTATATATAAAAAGAAAAACAGAAACGTTAACGACCCACTCAAGGAATATGAAAAATTTAATTTTGTGGAAAATTAAGAGAAATAAAAATTCATATATTTTAGATTCTTCGTCTTCCTTATTGCTTACGATGTAATTTCACAACAGCTTTCTTTTTACTTTTGTGTACTTAAAACAACAGAGAAAACTAGGAATTAAAATAGGACACAATTGGAATGCTAGGAATTTTTTTTTGTAGTAAAAAATCATTAAAATTTTTTACATTAACTTATTGCAGTATGATTGACGTTGCTTTATGACTGCAGAAATAAAATTTTTAATGATCAGCTTAAGCAACTTAATTCGAATTGTGAAAATTAATAAAAAAGCAGAATTATTGAGGAAAATTAAAGCTCGATCATTTGTGAATCAAGAACAGAAAGGTAAACTATTAATATATTAATAAGGCCCCAATAAGCACTAAGTCTGCACTTTATAAAAACATTATACCAAATTGACAAATTTGAACTCATCCCAATTTCAAAAATAGTTAAATATGCCATCCAAATTATTATGGCATCTCATTGTTTCCTTTACTGTCAACGTGTCAGCACAATTGCAACTTGTCAAAAGTTTTTTTTTTTATAACTGAAATTGATCCCATTAAATGGAGCAGTTGAGGGCATTTGCTCTTATTATTGTTTATTTATTTTTGAGAATTAACCTGATTCTAGGTTAAGTTCTGTGCATAAAGAATTCTTAATGTCAGCGCTATGATATTTGAAATTCAGAGCATCTTGGCAGAGACTACCTTAGGTTCCTTAGATTGTGACTTTGGAGTTTAAACAAAACTTGAAAATGACTAGATTAGGGAAGCATTAAGAAACTGGCATCATTTTCCATTTAAGTCTGATGTAGAACTTTCATTTGATTCCATTCGCGACTCTTATCAATATCACATAGATAAAACTCTCACTGTTGATTAAATTCTTCAGTCTTCAAAGCTCAAAATGGAATCCAACATAACCAAAACATTAAAATTCAAGCCTCTTTAATAAGAAGATTTAATTATCATAACTGCATAAATTCTCGAAAAATGTCCAAAACTCAACATAAAATTAAGCAGCTTTAATTTCATTGGTATTGATACCACAATTGTTCAACAAACAAGCTTACAATGTATAACATATGAAAGCAAAAGTGCCTATACTGATTTATAACAACACAAAAAGTATAATCTAGCATTTACAAATGTTTTTGTGATGATCCTTACATGATGTGTTAGATTACTAATTACTATAACATGAGGTCATTCATAAGTGATGTCCTGACTAGATGAAAAGAAGATTCAGATAGTATATTAATGAAATTTTAGACGAAAAGGGTGCAAAATAAAATTTTTAATGATCAGCTTAAGCAACTTAATGTGAATTGTGAAAATTAATAAAAAAGCAGAATTATTGAGGAAAATTAAAGCTCGATCATTTGTGAATCAAGAACAGAAAGGTAAACTATTAATATATTAATAAGCCCCCAATAAGCACTAAGTCTGCACTTTGTAAAAACATCATACCAAATTGACAAATTTGAACTCATCCCAATTTCAAAAATAGTTAAATATGCCATCCAAATTATTATGGCATCTCATTGTTTCCTTTACTGTCAACGTGTCAGCACAATTGCAACTTGTCAAAAGTTTTTCTTTATAACTGAAATTGATCCCATTAAATGGAGCAGTTGAGGGCATTTGCTCTTATTATTGTTTATTTATTTTTGAGAATTAACCTGATTCTAGGTTAGGTTCTGTGCATAAAGAATTCTTAATGTCAGCGCTATGATATTTGAAATTCAGAGCATCTTGGCAGAGACTACCTTAGGTTCCTTAGATTGTGACTTTGAAGCTTAAGCAAAATTTGAATATGACTTGATAAGGGTAGCTTTAAGAAACTGGCATCATGTTAATTTAAGTCTGATGTGGAACTTATATTTTATTCCATTCGCGTCTCTTATTAATATCACACAGATAAAAAAACTCAGATAAAACATTCACTGTTGATTAAATTTTTAAGTTTGCAAAGCTCAAAATGAACTGCAAAGTTACACAAAACATTAAAATTCAAGCCTCTTTAATGAGAACATTTAATTATCATAACTGCATAAATTCTCAAAAAATGTCCAAAACTCAAAAGAAAATTAAGCAACTTTAATTTCATTGGAATTGGTACCACAATTGTTCAACAAACAAGCTTACAATGTATAACATATGAAAGCAAAAGTGCCTATACTGATTTATAACAACACAAAAAGTATAATCTAGCATTTACAAATGTTTTTGTGATGATCCTTACATGATGTGTTAGATTACTAATTACCATAACATGAGGTCATTCATAAGTGATGTCATGCCTAGATGAATAGAAGATTCAGATAAAATATTAATGAAATTTTAGACGAAGTGGGTCTAAAATAAATAATTTTTGCTAGCCCTCATTTATAAATGACCCCAATGTAAATTGCATTCTATAATGACAAGCTTGTTGTATGTTTTTCAAAACATTACACAAAATATAACAAAACAACAAATTTTGCAGATGTAAATGACAAAAAATTGAAATTCAATTGTAGACAATCGGTAGAACATAAATCATGCACATGTATTAAAAACAATAGAAAGAGTAAAAAAAAAACAATAAAAGAGCTCAACTTCCTTTGTTACCATTTCATTGTATCAATTTACTGCGTTAAAAGAAAAACAGAAATAAAAGCACAAAAATGATTAAGTGATGCTAAATTTAAAACGAATGAAAAGGTGAAAAATTTTATTTTTATTTTTCCTTAATATACAAAAATAAGTTCGCAATAATCGACCACGCGAATGAATTCATTAAAATGAGGAATGAGAAGTAAAGAGAAATTTTTCTGCATTTTTGCCGCTTCTCTCAAAAAGAGAAAATTTTCATCTTCGGGGATGTGTTTACGACGATCATAATGATGAGCATGAGATGCTATTTTTAAAGGAATGAAAATGTTGCTTTAACAAAAAAAAAAAAAAATTCCACACACCATCCAACTCGATCACATTTTACCAGTTGATCTCGCTAAATTGACACTAAAAATCGTACAATTAAGCACTCAAATGTTATCATATTAGACTTGTATAGGATTGCCGGCAAATGCGATCGTCTCTAATTTAAAATATCATCTTTGTTTTCCCGAGTGTGGATTTTCTCGTATTTTTTTTGTGTTTTCATTTTCTCACAAAAAAGTCCGAAAAAAACTTACTTCCATTCACACTGAGACACATACGAAGTGACTTTCAGTTTTATTTTAAATTCTTTTGAATAAACATCGAGAAACGCAATTCTGAGCGGTATGAGGAAGAAAAGATTTTTTTTTAAATTTGTGTGGAAATAATTTGAAAATTTGCTTTAAATCTTTTTCCAGGGTTCAGTTTCGATTCTCGGAAGTCCAACAAAAGTTGAGAAAATTGGTGAAACTTTTATTCCATATCAAGTATTTAAGGATTATTTGAGAGGTCTAGCCGACAGTTCATTTAGGTAAGAAAATTTTTTTTTTCCTGCTTCTTCTTTTTCTTCACGACTTTATTATCGTGAGACTGTGAGACTTACTTACTTACTTTTTTTTTGTGAGCATCACCAAAATGTCTTGAGAAATGAGAATGTTTATTCTTCTTCTTCTTTATTTTTACGTTTACACAGGGGATCGTGTTACTCACTTTTGAAGCATAATTGCAACACATTCTCGGAAGATTTATGTCAATTTTTATGCGGTGCCTCTATTCCTAAATATATTTTAGATTTACCACAAGAATTTCTCTCAACGCCATTGGGTCAAAGTTTGGGACCGTTAATTGGTATGATTAATTGTCATCATCATCATCTGACAGTCGTCAACATGTTTCTTTGTTCTTATTTCACAGAAAGCTTAGGTCAAAGAACGGACGGATATTCAAATTTTTCTTTCGAGTCACAGATAACTACACCAGTACGTTCGCCATCACCTGATTATATCGAAATTAATACACAGATTGAACAACTAAGAGAACAATCGTCAGCATTAGAAGAGCGTCGTCAACAGAGCCTTGATAAGATCGCCAAGAAAGAACGCAAAAGAGAAAAGAAAAGGAATAAAGAAAGGAAACAGTCAAATAAGGTTACATTCAGTGATAGTAGTGAATATAATTCAACAGGAATGTCTGAGATTGAAGAAGCAAATGGCACAACCGAAAGTCCAGTCATCAATTCAGAGATGTTACCATCTGAGAAAGTATTAGAGGAAGAAGCTGAAGAGCGAAGACTCGAGGAAGAGAAAAAGAAGAATCGCGAACCACCAATTGTCTTTAAGGAAATTGATGTGAGTATTGACTTCGTTATTGAAAGTTTTTGATGTTGAAAATAGGCATAAATGCATCATTGATTTATTTTTGAGCAATAGCATGAAGAAACGTCTAATCATTAATATCCTTACAGCCAAAATATGAATTAGAAGAGTTAGTAAAATTAGTGGATGGGAACTTATCAGAAGAAGAGCAACTTGCACTGGAAGAACTGCATCAATATCTCTTACTTGGGGATGGATGTTGGGCACTCAGTGACTTATTCTTGGTATTTGTTGGACGAGTTTTAAGAGATCCTCAAATATCAACGGAAGCACGTGTTCATTTATTGCGATCACTAGCATATGCCGCCCTAAAGGATGATATCATTTTATTACTTCATCAAGACAGACGCGATCATGTTATGATGAATTATTTATTGGATATTGAAAAGATTAAGCCGGAAGAGCAACAGGCAGTTGCGTTGTTTGTGAGTCATAAAAAATTTGTGTTATGTGCTCGTCTATTTTATGTACGCAAATTTATCATTTTTTCTAGGCTAATAATTTATTTGAGAACACAAATGCTTCCGAATGGTTGTTATACATAAGCGAATGGCCTTCTGGTAGTCAGCAAGTATCAAATATCCGTGCAACAACAAAAGTTGTCGTGCATTGCCTGTTGTCACCATGCCCAAAACTTCAAGAATTGGGAACAGCATTAACATACAATTTGGGCATTAAGGAAGTAAAGACTGTTGTAAAGTATCAAAGTTTCAAGCTTCTTATGTTATTATTTCTGTAGCAACACGAAAGTTTTGGTGGTGGGAGCAAGTCACACCTGCCACACAATTTTTCATGTTCTGCAATTTTATTTTTTATTTTTTGATGTCTTAAAATTTCTTAAAACGCATTTTCGATATTTTTTCTTAATTTTTCGGTCACTTCCACTGAAAAATCTAACAACTAACATCTTCTGTCTATCTATTGGATGTTTATAATTAATTTCGAGAAATATTGAGGCCAAAATTTGTCCCTTCTGTTATTTCTTTTTAAAAGAAACTTCGTCATGCTAAAAAGTTGAGGCAAATCTTGCCCAAAGGCTCCTTATCAAAGGTGATAAAATATCGAAAATGCAATTAAAGAAGATGAAAAAGACTTCAAAGGATTAAAAAACTTTTCTCATTAAATTTTCATAATTAATTTTGTGTTATTTAATTTTACAGGTATTTGATGATATTGCCATAGAAATCACAATGGCGATTTTACAATTCTTAAATTCTAATCCATCGGAGGAATATTTATTCAGGGTATTGAAAGCCTTATCGAAGTTTGTCTATGTAAGTTCATTTACCATTTGAAATCAAAACTTTGCATCAAATTAAATTTTATCCACAGGTATCAGCAGATATCCCACAGTTTGTTCAAATGATTGGACCAAATCCCAAAGATTTCCGAGGCAAGAGTGACAGATGCGATCAATTAATTGATATAATTGTTAAGAAAGTTCGCTAGTTCAAAATAAATCATTCATGGCAATTATCTATCATTATTATTATAACTTGCAATTGTTAGATTCTATAACATTTTACTAATATAAAAAAATATATATAAAATGAAATGGGAAGGTTAAATAAGTTGGACATTTAATTGATTTAATATGGTTCTTTCATTTGGGATATATTTATACAAAATCTTTTCTGCATTTTTTGTATTGAGTCAATTTTAATTTTTTTTTGCATTCTAATAAAGGAGAAAAAAAGTTTTAAATTTATGAACCATTTATGGAGTTTTTATTCTGTAAAAAATTGTTTTGCTTAATGTTATTTGAATTTAATAGCTAGCAATGAACCTTGCTACATAGCTCGTTTAGGATGAAAGACACCATTATTGTGTCTTAACGTCTTGAACAGGCTGCTCTTTAACTGGTTTATAACCTAGAATCTAAGTACTCTACAGGCTTTCCTAATATCATAGCATGTATTACAGCCATGACGCTGCTATGGCTTAATTAAAATGAATAAAAATAATAATAATAATAATAATAATAATAATAGCTTAGGGTTCACTTATTACGTTCGCATTTTAGGGGGGAGGGGGGGTTTGAAAAATTGTAACAAAATGTAACATAGGGGGGGGGGTCTATCTTTAAAAAAAAAGTTCACGAAAAAAATTTGATTACAAATTCACACCAAAAACATTTTTTTAAATTTTCCACCTTTTTAATGATTAAAAAAATTATGAACGTTCAGGGGGGGGGGGGTTGTGAGTTGTAACATATTGTAACAAGGGGGGAGGGGGGGGGGGTGAAAAAAGTCGTTTTTTTGCGTAACGTAATAAGTGAACGGCCCCTTAGGGGACTTTAAAATTATAGACCTGATTAAAGCAACATAAGAAGTCTATGCCTAAGTTTTCAAACTTCTTCTTGAGTCTGAAACAGAGAACTTTACTAAGATGCGTATTAAAAGTCTGAAACACCAATTTTTTTCATTTTAAGCATTACTTAATATTTGAATGACCCTCCAGTAAATGACAAGAATGATTGGTTTTTAATAGAATTAGTTTGAATGTGTGTATGTTCTTTTAGATCACCTTAAAATATGCATATTGGATGAGATATCCACTTAGAAATGATGAGTATTTCATACGTTCTCAAATTTTTTTGATATTTTTATGCAGGTTGTCTGGCACGAATCAACATTTGATATTATAATTCCCACAATAAAGCTTAGAATTAAAAATTATATTTGATTACACTAATATTAATCACGTCATGTTTTTCGCGCAAAGTTTACAGTTTAATTGGATAATTTAATCAAAAAACAAATGAATATGTCATTAATGGTTATCAAACTGTTTGTCCTTGTTCAAATTGAAATGTTTTTAGGCTTTACATCTTTTTATTATTTCGACTAGAGTCAAAATTTAATTCAATTTTAACGATAGTGGGCATTTGTGTTATCGTAACTGCGCATCTTTAAATATCACATCAATTTTATTTTAGAACTTAGTTTCGTGAGAGAATAAATTTAAATGGATGGAGAAAGAGTGAGTGCAATTTAATCTCAATGACTTATTTACACTATGTACACAGTATCGTGCGATATCTTATCACTTATAGTAGATCTTACTGTCTAAAATATTTAGAATCACAAAGTTTTTGTTACATCGCAGTTCTATTTTATCATTAGTGCAAGTAACAGCAAATAAATAGTAATGGCATCGGCTCATAAAGACGTGGAATTATCTCAGTTAAATACTTGTGAAAAAATTCCATATGATGAGCTTCTAAAAAATCACAATGCAAAAATTTCTCATAAAATTGGAGATTTTGTGAAACGACGACTTTACATCTTAAATTGGTTACCTGAATATGATCGAACAAAAGCAATTGGTGATTTTATTTCTGGTGTTACTATTGGACTGACCATGATTCCACAAAGCTTAGCTTATGCAAATTTGGCAAATGTTCCTGCAATTTATGGATTATATTCAGCATTTATGGGATCAATTGTGTACATATTTTTGGGAACGGTTAAGGAAGTCAGCATTGGACCAACATCATTAATGTCAATAATTACTGTGAGCTATACGTATGAGAAACCTATTGAATATGTTTTCATAATGACATTCATTTGCGGATGTGTGGAGATGCTTATGGGAGTTTTTAAATTAGGTAATAGAATTAAAATGAATTGCATGGAATTTTTTTTGGCTAGTCATCGTCGAGGGGGCGTTTTTCATTAAAATAATTAATGTTGTTATCCATGACCTATCTCATCTGTCGCACTGAACTGATTCAGTTTTAGAATAAAATCCTAATACTTTTAATAACTGCAAGATATGTCCGATATCCCAGATTCAACTTTATTACTTCATTAAACCTCTGACTATTGACAACTGTAAATAATATATATTTCCTTTCAGGCTTCTTAGTCGATTTCATTTCTGTCCCTGTTGTATCAGCATTTTCATCATCTACGGCTATATTGGTCATCGTGGCGCAGTTAAAAAATCTCTTTGGAATAAAATTTAAGGCAAAAAGTTTACCGTTGACAATTGTGAGGCTTGCAGAGAATATAAATCAAATAAAAATTGGGGACACAGCCTTAGGGTTATTTGCCATTGCATTTCTGTTATCTCTAAAAGTATTTTGCATTTTATTGTTTGGATAATATTTGCATTCTGATGATTTATTCCAATTTTTCCATAGAAACTCAATGAACTTGGCACCAAATCGTCGAACGTGAAATTGAAAAAATTTTTATTTTATTTTAGTTTGTGTAGAAATGCATTGATCGTGTTAATAACTGGATTTATTGCATATACTATATCAGCATCGGAAATGGAACTTCCATTTAAATTATCTGAAGAAGTTCCTGCTGGAATTCCGTCTTTTCAGCTGCCCTCATTCACAGCAAAAGTCGCTAATGAGACAGTCGAATTTGATGAAATTGTTATGGACATTGGCTCGGGATTCATATTATTGCCATTAGTTTCGATTCTCGCAAACGTTGCAATTGCCAAAGCATTCAGTAAGTATAGCAACATAATTTAATGAGTTTGTGGGTGCTTGCTGACAGTTTAATAATTAATGCTTCATATTCATAAATTTTATTTCTAAAACAGCATCGGGAAAAATCGTTGATGCAACCCAGGAGATGATTGCACTCGGAATGTGCAATGTTCTCGGATCTTTTTTCAAATCCATACCAACATGCGGTGCATTCACAAGGTCCGCTGTATCTAATCAAAGCGGAATACAAACGCCTTTCGCTGGGATTTATAGTGCAATTATGGCTTTGATGGCATTAACATTATTGACACAATATTTTAATTTCATACCCAAAGCTACATTAGCTGCTATATTAATATGCGCTGTGTTATCTCTGGTAATTATATTCAATTATGAGTTTGAATTTATTAAAAGTTTATTTGATAATTTAATGCAGATTGACATCAGAATTGGCTCAAAATTATGGAACAAGAGTAAAATTGATTTTCTATCGTGGATTGGATGCATAATTGCTTGCATTGCAGCTGGCGTGGAAGTTGGATTACTTGTTGGTGTTGCATTGAGTATGATCAATATTTTCCTTAAGGCTGCTCGACCAAATGTTGTGATTTATGTTGATAAGGTAAACTATTGATGAAAATTAGCAATAATTGGATTTTGACTTGTCAGAACTTCAAATTTGAAATAGTTGTACCAATTTTCTGATTAATACACATCCAAACTTTCATTACAGAAGAAAGATGAGCAAATCATTTACGTAAGGCCATCCGAAGGAATTTTCTTCCCAGGGATCGATAGCTTACGTGAAAAAATAAACATAACGCTGATTAAGACGGACTATAAGTATCCTGTGGTGCTGGATTTGATAAAAATCTCATCAGTTGACTATACATCATTGCAAGGAATTGAATCCATTATTATGGACTTAAATAAGCACAATCTTACTGTTACTTTTGCAAATGTTGATGAGAAAATTCAGAGGAGGCTAAACTTGATCAAATAGGAGGCTTTAGGTTTGAGGATAACATTTGTGAGGTTATATTTGTATTGAATAATTTGGAACTAGTTTGAAAATTATATTTAATATCCAAAAATGTTTCTTAGGCCACTCAAGAATGTCCTTCCCAAAACCTAAAGCAACATTAATCTATAGTTTTTTTTGTAATAACACAACGAAAAATGTGTCCTACATTTGTCTACAAAGTAAACTACAATTAAACAATATTGTACGTAATAAAAATAGTATAACATGCTGAAATATTGCAACACACATTTCTTTCGCGTAATCTTACTTTCAGTGACTCTTGAGCAATACTCAATGTTGCACTTGTGCATATCTACACAAATAAACAATTTCTTTCTCTCGTAAATCCCTGACCATCATGAAAAACAAGTTTGAATTCCAAACGAGAACACATAAAAAAATTTCCCACTTTTCTTTTCTATCAGCAAAAATAAAGTTTCATAGAGCTTACTCTCAGTTTATGCAGACATTAGTCTAAAATTCGATGTCAATTAGAAAGGACGCGTAAGAAGACTTAAAGACTTTGTAAATAGTTGGAAATTTATATTGAGAATAGTCCAGAAATATTGACAATTTGGCTAACTTTGTGCTTTAAAAAGTGAATATTTGTGAATATTTGAGAAATCTGTGCAGAAGGATAACCTTTGACCAGTATAATTTGCATAATTTCTATGGTTATATAACATCATCTCAACCAGTTTCAAAGTGACTTACTGACACACTGAGCAAAGATTCAATGTGCATTTCTCTTTGTTTATGATGCAATTTCAAATGTGTATAAATTTCCGCGAGTAAAAGTTATATCACAGCATTAGACAGACAGTATTTAGCAGAGAGTTGAAAAAACGCACCGAGCATCATATTCTCTAGTATGTGACATATATTTTAAGTGTACCTATATAATTTTATGGACTTGACGTTATTATTATTGCTGAAAACTGCCAAGTGAACTCGAATAAAAATTTATTAATTATTTTTCATATACAGAAAACGTTATGCTGGTTTGGTGATACAATTAGAAATAGTTTTGTGTGCTGTAATCAATTTTATTACATTTAAATAAGTCTATGTCACCAAACAACCATTTTAACAGTAATCATCTAAAAATGGACATTGATTTAAGTAAATATATTCGGAAAAAGACTCCAAAAGAACTGCTTGATGATAACAATAACTTTGAGGACTTTACAAATAGTCCATTAATTACGACAAAATGTATCAAGGATTATTACAATGATTGCAGTATTTTTGTAACTGGATCGACTGGCTTTTTGGGTAAGCATTAAGCTTTATTTTTAATGAATTTATAGAGATACATTGGCACTTGATTTTATGTGTTTTATTCCGCTTAAATATTAGTTTAAATTCGTATTCAGCTTTCTATTACTTATTAGTCAAATCTTGACGATTATCAAAAAATCTCGTGATATAATTTTAAAGCCGCAATTTAAAAGACTTTGAGTAAATCTACATAAACTTAAAACGAAGTGACTAATAATTAATCATCAATTACACAACCCCATAAGATTAAATTCTATAGAGACATGAAAAAAAAAATCAAAAGACCCAACTCTTCAAGAAAAGTGTTTAAACAGAACAATTCATCCATTAAAAGAAGCAATAATTCCCAATATACCCTTCGTACAAAATGTGTCACTATGAATTTTCACATGACAAATAAATTAATCTCTTTTAGGAAAAGTTTTGATCGAAAAACTCCTCCGCTCGTGCGATGGAATTCGTAAAATTTACATTCTCTTAAGGCCAAAGCGAGGCATTGAAAGTGAACAACGTTTTGAAGAATATTTACGCAATCCAATATTTGAGAGAATCCGCAGTAAAAATCCAAATGTGCTGAGGAAATTGATTTGCATTCCGGGTGATATTAATGATGCGAAACTAGGCCTTGACGACGGTGACATTCATGTACTGCAACAGAATGTTGATATCGTTTTTCATGTTGCCGCAACAGTTAGATTTAATGAACCGTTAAGAGATGCTGCCAATTTAAATACGTTTGGGACTCATCGTGTCATGGAACTATGTACGAAAATGAAGAAGTTGAAGGTAAAAATGCTGACTGACTGAATGGCATGAACAAAGCTTAAATTAAAACATATTTTTCTCTAATAATTATAATTTCAGAGCTTAGTGCATGTAAGTACAGCATATAGTAACCCACATTTGAAGAATGTCGAAGAACAGGTTTATGGTACATCATCATCACCAGATCATCGTTTATTCATAAATGGAATAGGTACATTGCCCGATGAATTTACTGAAACAATTGCAAAACGTTTTAATAAAAGACATCCAAATACGTATACATTAACGAAGCATATGGCAGAACAAATTGTACTCGACTATTATGATATTCTTCCAATAAGCATTGTGAGACCATCAATTGTTACGGCTGCACTTAATGAGCCTTATCCAGGCTGGATAGATAATGTTTATGGAATCACAGGTTTTTATACTAATTAATTACTTTTTTTCTTCCTGAGGGGTTGAAGCTTTTCTATTGTTTTGTGGATATTAGAGTAGGTTGTAAAATCTTTTGCATTGAGGAATCAAAATCACCTATTAGGTTTATATTAAACAAGAGTTCTCCAGTAGTTAAAGATAGAAATTTCAATTCAAACTTTAAAAGCTTCCACATCCCTTCCTTCCCATCAATTTTAATTCCCACTGACATTTATTTCTTTTATTTAAACAACACAGGCGTCTTAATGGAGATAGGGCGAGGAACAATTAGCAGTATAATGGGAAAAGAGCATAATCTTGTCGATTTGATGCCCGTCGATATTGTTTGTAATACATTAATTACAGCAGCATGGGGAAACAGTTTTATGCGATCATCGAATGCAATTACTGTTTATAATTGCACTTCAGGACAGACTAATCCAATGCGGTACAGTGAGCTGAAAAAGAAAATTCTAAAACATTCACGCAAAAATCCATCGAAATATGTTGCAATGTATCCAAATTATGTTTATCAAACGAATCGATTAATCCACACGGTTTGTGAAATATTTTTGCATTTTCTGCCAGCCTTTTTATTTGACTTATTGTTAAGAGCAAAAGGCAAGAAGCCAATAATGATGAAAATTGCCAAACGATTTAAAATGGCATGTGACACTGGTGAATACTTTGTGTTAAATGGATGGAATTTCGATGCAAAAAACGTTCGACGGCTCATACGTGCAGCAAATCAAACGCAAGCCGATTGCAATGAATTCAATTGTGACATGAGTGCAATAAATTGGGATGAGTATGTTGAACATTATCTGATGGGAATTAGAACGTTCATATTGAGAGATGATGCAAGCAGTCTGCCGAAAGCGCGACGAAAATTAAGAAAAATTTATTGGACACAACGAGTTCTTCAGTTTATTTTGATAGCTGGTGCAATTTATATCTTTTTTATTGGCTTATGGAATTAAAATTGATTTATGTAAAATTCATGAGATGATTATCGTTTTAAATAAAGATTTATCTTCCTTTATCTCATTTCTATTGTTCAAAATCCTTTTGTTATCATCCGATTAATTAAATATAACGTGCTGTAAATCAGACTCAATGGAATCATTTGAATTTCAGACTATTTCTTTGTTACATTTTTAAGTTATTCGATAATTTGTGGAGGTGGAAACTTTTTTGATGCTCAGGCAGATCTTTTAATAGTAAAGTTCCAAAATCAATTAGAGTTGAATGTTCTAGATATTGAACCTATTATTTCACTGCGCTTGATCTCATGTAATTTGTGTTCTAATCGACAAAAGCTGCCGAAAGACCTGAATGACTTAATAATAACCATGTTTCCCCCCTGAAAAAAGACACATCTAAGTTTGTGTTATAAATTCAAAACAACGGAAAAAGATTCAGCATCATGTGGGCAATTGCCATTTTTATATATCTTTTATTTTAAACTTTGAGTTGTTTTCTGTTTAGCAATAATCTATTTCCATTGTGTTACATCTTTAAGCCCATAACAAGCACTTTAATTATTTTTAAATAAACTTAACGCACATAAATGGAATGATAAAATATAAACATATGCATTGCATTAATAGAAATAAATGTTGAAAAATTTATTTTGTGGTCCATACGAATGGCTCCAAACGATTATCTACGTCCAAAACATTATTTAATGATTCCATCAGTTCTATGTTTTGATTGAGTAATGAGTTACAACGACTTAATTGTTGTGAGATTTGTCGTACGCGAGAGAATGCATCAGCATAAGTTGAGAATTGTTTTTGACGCTCAATCATTTTATTTAAAAGTTTTCCTACATCTTGGTCTACTTCCTTAACTTTATTATTTATTACTTCTTGGTCTTGAGCAATTTTCGTCGCACACAAATTATAGTGAGACTGGTTGGATACAGAAAAAAATTAGCACAACTTTATATAACGAGAGAGAATTTCATCATTCACCTGTAAACGAGTACACATATTCAGCACGTGATTTGGTTGTAATCTCTCCAAAATTTCAGGATCTCTATATGAGGGCAAAGTTAACGTTCCACGCATAACTGGCAAGAACATGGGAATACTCTAGAATAAAATTAAATTTTTATTTTAAATCTAATTATTATCTCATGCTCATTCTTTCGTTAATATGTGTGGTAGGTGGCATTTTGAAGGTCGACTTTACATTTATTAATGAAAATGTAATAAAGAAAATAAGTGAGAAAGTTGATCGAGGAGATAAACGACGCAGTTTAAGATGAAATATGACGTCATTACAGGTTCTGAGCAGATAAAATGAAATTAATCTATTATGTGAGAATTCCTGTGTCTTACGCAAAGAAGTGACGGTAATGACTCTTATTAAATACAGTTCTCGGATCAAAAACCTTTGTCTATCCATCAATCACACTTATTTTATAGAGACACTTATTTTGAAGATCCTTACTATCAACCAGAATGATAATTGTTCAGATTTAGCTTTTCATCAAATAACATTCAAGTTCCAGTTGATAGTCCAAAGTGCTCACAAACATCCAAATCAATTTTCAACGTTACAAATGAAGGCTTTAAATTGAAGCTAAAGTTGCAAGAATTATCCATTACAGCCAGCGTATGTAAAAACACACATCTGTTTCCATCTGTGTGTATTGAAGATGCGTGGGAGTATCGTTTCATTATAAAAAATCACAGCACTACATGGTGACTCTAAATATTTCTTTCTTTTTATTCTCTAAGTCACCAAACACACATGTAGACCGAAGCTTAAATAAAAAATATTATTGATATGCACACCCTACATCATTCTTCCATAGCTCTTTATATTGTTTTTCGTAACAATTTCCATACATACACTACTTTTTACAAAATAGGCAATAGCAACTACAGCCTTTTATTTTTTCTGTCTGTCTTTATGCAAAAATAAATAAGATTTTTACATTATTAAATTTTAGACAATTTTAGTTTCATTCGAGAATCCGAAGAGTTAATATCGACTAGTTATCGGTGAATTAAGAAATGTCAAACAGGAAATTTTTTAGTGGTTTACCAGAAAATATGATGGGTCGTTCAACGGGACCTAATCGTCAGCAAACAAATTTCTATTGGCCAGATGATAGTAATGCTGACGATGTTTGTTCAGTTAGATCAAATCGGATGAGAAATCGTAGCTTATCGACAGCATCAGTTCTAAGTCAATCACAAGCATCAACGGATACGGAAGAATCGCGAAAACGACGATCAAGAGATTTAAAGTCACGTATAGAATTTTATGATATGGTTGACATGCCAACCGACAATGAGAGTGTATATAGTCGAAAATTAGAGCCATCGAAGCATAAGAAACTCGAGACATTGAAATCTCGAATAGAATTTTATGATTATGTGGATACAAGAGATTCATCACAGATGAATGATGAAGATACAAATTCTGTCATTGAAGTGGTACAGCAAAAGGAAAATCAGGAAGTGAGAAATGACAAAATTGGCACAATTGACACACCCGTCGAGAATAAGAATTTTATTCAAAATAATAATAAGCACATTGATGAGCTTGCAAATAATGTGGGTAAAATGTCAATGAATGCTGAACATCCGAGGAATGATATGAATAATCATAATAATCATAAGCCACAGTATATTGACAGTTATAGTGAATCTGATGAGGATGATTATCGTTATCAGAAAGCATTTCGTGGTGCCCATCATGATGCCATAAATAGAAATCTTCCGCAAAAAAATCGTCGTCCACCATTGCCAAAGCAGCAGAATCATAATCAACAACCGCATCAATATCAACAATTACACCCACGCCGATATCAGTCACAGTTTTTTGATGATTTTGAAGATGATGGGTACGATCGTTACTATGAAAATGCCTCAATTAGATCGAGTAGATCAAGGCTTCCAAGAATGCCGAGGAGAAACTACTCACCGGATAATTCCGATGAAGAAATTTACGACAACCGGATGTATCCAAAAAGAAATGGACAAATGAGTCGTGATTATCGGAATTATGAAGTATTTTCGCCAGAACGAGAATATTCACGGGCACAAAATCCACGATATGACGATTACTATGAGTCATATAGAGACGACAGAAGACCAAAAAATATAAGAAATCAAAACACTAATTTATTTGGAATTGAAATGGATTATAATCGTCCAAGAACACCCCCGCGTCAACAACAACAACAGCAGCAGCAGCAGTCCAAGATTGAAATAGAAACTGAGCAGAACATTCCAACGACATCAGCAAGACCACCAATTAAACCTGTTAGCAGATCAATGTCAATAAATGAAGCGAGACGACGTCATCACATAAATCTTAAATCAAATATTTTCCATACTGACAATGAATATGATCAAGTTGTGGGGCAAAGAAAGCCATTAAGTGTACGCGATTTTGCAGCTACTACTAAAATCGGCGTGGGATTTCCTGATTTGGACTGATTTGTTTTTGTTGGATATATTTTATTTTGTACACATTAAGGAAATAGCTACTAATCGAAACTTTAGATGATTATCTAGCACATATACACGTGATTGATATAAATTAATTAGTAAAATACCAAGCACATGCTGTTTAATGGGAAAGAAATAAAACAAATAATTAAAGAAATATTCACCTGAAGACGTAAAATTTCTGCATCACGTTCTACACCCCCACTATCTTTTGCCGTGCCTTTATTAACAACAACCATTGTGCCTGATGTTGCAATTTTACTACCACGACTCGATGCTGCTGACGTTGATTGCCTTCTTAAGTTAACAGCTGGTCGTGTTTTATTAAATTTTTGACCTTTATTTCTTAATTTTGGCGAATCTGGTCATTAAGAATGTAAAGATGTATGTTAAAAAGAAAGGAATGAATAATGATAAATTATATAGAGTTAATGTACCTCCTATTGGTTTATCTGTATACGATATGTATGGTAAATCAGAGTCAGAACATACACTCATTGGTGGAGAAGTTGGTCGAGAATCAAGTGGAGGTGTCGAGCTATTATCAACAAGTTGGCTATTATTCAAATTATCACTTGTTGGTGGTCCAGCAATTGTATACCCGCGTTGCAAGCGAAGTGTATCTGATGTTGCTATCGATGCTGGTCGCTGATTCAATCTTTGAGGTGTTGAATGCGTCGAACCAGATGCTGCTGTTCCTGTTGATGCATGTTGTGACTGCTCGGAGCCCATTTAGATTATTTATTATATAACTTTATTTGCACTTAATATAAATAAAAGAATGGAGATAAAAATGAAAAATGTGAATTAAAAAATATTGAATGACATATTAACATGAATTTATTTTATGCTCCAGCTGTTAATGTTGTTATTTTTTTTATGGAGAACAAGATCTTGTTTGTAAGAAGAGGAAAACAAAAAATTTGTGTTATGCATTAAAAAAAAGTAATAAAAATATTTTTGCCTTTGTTTCTACATTCATCAATTGACATAAATGAGAATTTAAAAATGCAGCGATGAATTGACATAGAAAGTATGAAAAATAATCTTTGAAGGTATGGCAATACAAACTATGTCAGTCATAAAACAATTATTCATACGCTGTAATTATGCATGATAAATTATAATATTCAAAACTCATGTAATTCATGAGTTTAAGATGCGTGAGTAGAGTGCCTAAAGTTTCGAATATCTTGACTCGGTTAGTTGTACTGAACTTCCTACACAATGATCCACTAGAAGCGCTACATTAAATTGTATGTCACTTTCAGGGATATAGCAAAGGGTAATCCTTATGATTCAGAATTACCTCTAATATGATAAATCAAAGAATTAAATAGTAATCAACTAGCTTTAAAAAAATTTCCGTAGCTTCTCATCAAACCTAGTAAGCCCTAGTCATGGGAAAATCAAGAAGACATTATCAAAAAATATAAAAAATTGTTTCAAAAAAGAGAAACAATGCTTTTCTTTTTTCAGTTGTCATTGAAATGTAGTGCTGTGCATATGTGCGAAAAAATATGAAACGTTTTAGTGCATTTAGTGTTGTTATCAAAAGTTTATTGATTCCAATGTTGTGCATTATCAACGTTAATGCTGTTCGTATAGATCAATTACTATTAAAGTATGGAACTGACAATCAAAGTGACATTAATGAAATTGATTTTAATCCTAAAAGAGATTATCTTTTTGGATATAACAAGTCATATGACATGATAGCTAATAACTACTTGAATTATCGTGACATGTATGGATTGAGATATTCGCCTAATAGGAAATTTCTAAAATTAGCAATTGACAGTCATGAAGCTAATAAGAACAGTAATAAAAATAATAACTTTTCAATTGATGAGCCAAGTAATGATTATATTGTCACAACTATTGCTGCAAGTATCGAAAGTGAAGGCATTTCACCTTTGTCGGGTGAAACTTTTACAGAAATATCAACATTGCAGACTTTGAAAGAAAATGTAGCACAAAACAGTAATGAAAATAAAAGTAGCAACAATAATGGTGTTATTGACACAGCAAAGCAAGATGAAGCAAACAAGCATCACATAATGAAGCCTAACAACAGAGTTGAGCATGCATTAAATTTTCTTGCAAACAGAATGAAACATATCGTTTATTATGGAAGTGATCAAAAGATACACGAATCGAAGGTTTCACCGCATTTGTTAACACTGGGAAAATTTCTGAATTTGTTTAGCTTAATCAGATTTGACAATATGCCGTGTCTTACGGGACGAAAACCATTGAGGCAGCTCAGTGGCACATGTCTCAATGAAGTTGAATGTGTAAATTCAGGTGGCATTAGTATGGATCGTTGTGCAAATGGATTTGGTGTTTGCTGTATATGTAAGTATTGATTTTTATTTTGAAAACTTTTCTCTCGTTTTTTTTTGGTGCGATGGAATCAAAGAATAAACTTTTTTACTTCTTCCTTCCTTGTCCTATCTAGTTAAAAGTTCTTGTGGACACGTGACATACCAGAATGTTACGTATTTTGAAAGTCCCAACTTTCCATTAGCATCGCAAAATAATTTAGGAGCCTGTACGCTTACAATCTTGCTAGCACGAAATGTTAAGCAGCTTTTCTTAGAATTTATCTTTTTCGAAACTTTACCACCCACGAATGGGAATTGTATTCAAGATCAATTTACAATACATACAGATACCGGCAGTATGCACAAAGAAGTTCCAATTATTTGCGGTATAGCTACAGGACAACATAGTAAGATTTTTTTTTATTGATCTGAATTATTGAAATCTAAGGCAACTTTTGAAATTTTATAGTGTATGTTGAAGTATCTGGCACAGAAAAAATATTCTTATCGTTATTGACAAATACAGCTGATGATAGAGCATTCAGTATCAAAGTCTCTCAGTTAACTATGTTTGATAATGTAGCACCAAGTGGATGCTTGCAATACTTTACACAAACTAATGGACAGATAAAAAGTTTCAACTATGATGATGGATACTCACAAGTGTTGAAATATCGAAATCCAAGCTATTTCGTAAGTTTTTATCTCATTTATTTTATGGATCACGAAAAACACTTAAAGACTGTGTAGATTAGGAACTCAATTTTAAGCAATAAGCATCATTTTTTCTTTATTTTTGAAAATCTTCAAATTTATTTGAATGATTTTTTTTCCTTTTTCAATGTTTTCATTGTTGTTTGAATTTTTTACAACCGTTACGAAATTTTTTATATGGATTCAAATTCGCATGAATGTTTGAGAACATTGCTAAGCAAACCTCAAATGAATAATTTTTAAACTTTCAATGAAATTTACAGAACAACATGAATTATGCAATTTGCATTAAAAGAACTTGGGATCATTGCACAATAACTTACACAAATGAGTATAAAGGAGTAGAGGAGGTCTTTGAACTCATAAATACAGATGCTAATGGTAATATCATAGCACCAGGACAGGCTGGAGCAGAAATATTTGGATGTCCTGATGACTTCATAGCAGTAAATTACATACGAATCTGTGGATATAAGCTAAATGATGGTGCTGTAACAATTAACTTTAATACTAATGAACCCGTTAAGTCTATAATGAATGGTCCTATCGTAATGCCAGTTAAAACAAATAATGAAACTGTTGGAAGAGGCTTTAATATTTATTACTATCAGCAAAAATGTTAAATTCTATGCATTTCTATTATTAATCTAAGTACAAAGAAATTGTTTTAACGGATCTTAAATTCATTTTTGAATATTTCTACTCCTGATTTGTTTTACTTTATTTCCAAAACAAATTATTTATCAATGAATTATTCTTGAATTAAAATAAGAGACTTCCTTGATGAGTTATAGCTATAATTAGTGATTAGGATTATTGTAATCTAACTAGCTCAAATGTAACGAATCATTAAGATGTATCAACAGAAAAATGAAGAAATACTGCTGTGCAACCTTTATTTTCTTAATTAGTCTAGTATTTATAATTTATTCAGTTAATTTCTATTTCTTGTCGCGTTTAAGTCGTCAGGATAGTAATAAAATTAAATCAAAACTTAATAGTCATGAGATTTTTGAATATAACGATATTGAAGACGAACGAATTAATCACGAAAATGTCAAACTTAAGACGATTTATCGAAATAGAAATCCAAAATATACTTCACTAAAAGATAAACTTATTAATAATTATAAGCCATGCAATCGCTCATTGAATTTTAGTCAAATATGGGAAACAGTTGATTCTGTAAGTATGATTTAATGTAAAGTCTACTGAATCATGTTTCTCAAGAGTTTGATTCCAGTGGTCACGGGAAACTTCTAATGAGATTTATCCAGCATACAGTTCGAGGATGTGCCAGTTTTTGTCAGCACTCCGAGAAGTTAAAATATTATCAGCACAGAATTTTCGCAAAGGAACACAATTAAAGCTTAATTTCACCATCGAAGGTGGTAAAACAGTTGTTTTTAAGCCTGCATGGTACAACCGAAATCAAGTGATTGAGGGAGAGGTTTACGCTGGAAAGGATAGACATAATTCAGAAATATTTGCCTTTTATCTTGGTGCTGTGTTAAATTTTCGTTCAACAGGTTTAGTTGTCGGTAGATCAATAAATATCAGGGATATATTGGAGATAGCAGATAAGGAATTAAGAGAAACGATTATATCGAAAGGTAAGTATCTAAAAATAAAAATTAATATAAATTGTAATATGAGCCTACGACGCAATAAACAGGTAATGGAACAAAACTTTGCGTATATGGAAAATGTTTTTATTGTAAGCCATCCGAGTCAGTTTGTGGAAATAAGACACATTATATTGAAGGAGCCTTCTTATATGAGATTAGTGGACCTCTCCAAAAGCATAAATCTCCCTGGCAAAGAACTTACAAGGAAGGAGCTAAAGCTCTATGGGAAATTGAGAGTGACAATAATAATTATTGTGATAATGTTAAGCAAAAACTGTCACTTGTTCGATTACTTGATCTCATTGATGCCTCAATCTTCGATTTTCTCATACAAAACGGTGACCGTCATCATTATGAAACGAGAAAGAATCGAGTGATATTGCTCGATAATGGAAAAGGGTTTGCAAACTTTCGTACCGATTTTACAGACATTTTAGCTCCGCTTTATCAATGTTGTTTGTAAGTAGACCTTTTTCGTTTATTGTAAATGTTTTCTTTTAATGCATTATTTATTGTCTTACATAAATAGAATACGAAAAACAACATATGCACGCTTGCTGGTCTTTACTGGAGGTGCACTGACCGAAATACTTAAAGAATTGACCAAAAATGATTTGCTTCATCCAATTTTAATTGATAAGCATTACTACGCACTTGAGAGACGTTTATTGAAAATTTTTAGCATGATTGAATTTTGTAAGACGAAATATGGAAATTCAATATTTCAATAAGTCTTATTTATAGCTTAAATTAATGATGTTTTGAACCCAAAAAATATTTTTTATTATGAATAAAATTCAGAGGGCGAAGTCGACTCGAATTTTGTATGGAAAAGTCGACTTGAGTTCACTCGACTTCATACAAATTTCGAGTCGACTTCGCCCTCTGATAAAATTGAATTAAATTCTGTTAAAAAATTTTGCGAAACTAATTTGTCACGTTTCTTGTCATAATTGCTTCAACGTGCCTTATTTTCAGAGACTGAAGAAATATGGAGATTAGATTGGTCGATATGTGTCATTTATTATCTGTGTAACGTGTCTTATGACATTTTGAGTTGAACAAAACTTGGCCAATAATTTTGTGAAGGAAGAAGAAATGTAATTTGTCAGTTCCGTAGTTTGAAAGAAATAAAAATTGATGGAGAGATTTCGTGCTTTGGATTTCTTCGAGCGCATGGTAGAGATGATGCCTTGTCAAAATTCAGTTCCAGTGAACATAGTGCTCAACAAATTTTAACAAAACATGCTAAAAGATCTACAATATCATTTTTCGTTAATCTCCATTTACTTAACAGTAAATGTGATGAGAAGTAATTGCTCTTTAGAAACGATATTAATGGGGAAAAAAAATGTTTTTCTTTCGAACCCATCAAAATATGTAATTAGAGGAAATTTACAATCAATATTTGAAGGCTTAAAGACAGAGGAACGTAAAGCGAACTGTTTTGTGTAAAACGACGATGATAAATAATAAGAATTAAGTGTCACATCAGAGATATTAATTATCAAAGATAAGTGCTTACGATTAATTTTATTCATTTTAACTTGAGCCTGCTTTTATCGTCTGTCGGAGTCTTATTTTTCCTTAGATGCTTAAATAGCATTATCCGAAAAGTATTTCCATGACCTTCCTGTCAAACAAGCCCAAAACAGTCAGTCGTGTTTGATGTTATCAACATAATTAATGTCATTTTCTGTGTCAATAAGCAATGTACTTCAATATATTGTTATTTGATAATGGCAATGGACATTCACTCAATTTTACTACCGGATTAGTTTGATTAATAAACTTTCGTGAGTAATCTAGCAACAGATTACATTTTTTTCTTCATTTTGCTATGTCAAATACTCCCAAGCACATTCTCACATTGAGGTGAATGCTTTCAAAAAAGTTCCCTACTAAGCGGATGATTGCCAGTAGCATAAAATGAGATTAAAGTTTTAATCAAGAGAGATATTCCACTTTTTTTTGCTGTTTCTCTTTTCCTCCCTTCGTTCTTCCTTTTTCCCACGTAACCAAAGTATTCCACACATTTTCCATTGACATAGATGGAATATTTATGTACTTTCCCCGAAACAGTACATTATGTATAATTTATGTATTACATACATGGAATATCCATGTTTAGTCCATGAGTAATACATATATGTAGCACTTTAAAAATCTGGCCATTCAGACAATTAAGAACATTTTTGCTGTATTTTATTTTTTAAAATTATTTGTTTACATTGTGAAAAATGTGTTTTGAAAAATTGTTGTGAAGTGAAAATATAATTAAACGAACAATTTAGAAGCAGAAATAATTAAAAGGAGCAAGAAATGTTGTTTGGTGAGTAATTAAGTAAAGGAAATATAGTAGAAAATCGATTAATAAGGTAAGAGAAAATAATAATTTTAAAGTATAAAATGTCTACGATGTTTTAAACATCTAATATTTTAATCATTGTCTTTCTTGTTTCTCTTTTCTGTTTCTTTTCAGGTATAATTTAGTAAAAATTTACAATTTTTCAGGTAATTAATTATAATTTGAGTTAAGTGATAAGTTTTTTTCATGTGTAAATTGGCCTTTTTGATTGTTGTGAGTATTAAATTATGTAATTTTTTAATAAATAAAGTGTTTAACATAAATAAGTTAAACAATAATTATAAATATGTGCATTAATTAATGAAAATCCAGCATTTTTTATTTCAGGCTTTTCAATCCATTTTTAATACACAAAATAATACAAATGTATTACATCAATGTACTATACATGGAACGTCCCTAAATTCTTCCATGTTTCATACATGGATGATCCGCATGTACTATATACATGTATTACATGTATTATCCATCTAAGGGATTTTGGTTACGTGAGAAGTGATCCATAAGTGATACATAAATGTACTACATATGTTATACTTCAATGTAATACAGAAGTAATACTCAATATCTTCCCAAATATCGTCCATCTTCATAGGACAATATCATTCCATGGATTATCCATGGATGATACGTATGGACTTTACATGGAAGATTTTCGTGTATTACATATATCGTCCATTTATGGGATTTTGGTTACGTGGGTTATTTTCTTTCATTTCTTATATTTTTTTCATTCCGCACCTTTTTTGATTTTCCTGCATGTATACATTGAACACCTACTGATATAACAAAAGTAAAACATGGAAAAAATTCTAACTGTATCTCGAAAAGAAAAGCTTAGTTCTCTCATTTCCGCTTTGAATGTGAATATAATTTCACTTTTCATATTATAAAATACATTGAATTCGTCCATATATATATAAATATATAAAGGAATGTAAACTTTTTCAAAGAAAATTGAATTAAGGTAGGGTAAGACATTTTTTTTTGTGTGTGTGCTCTGTGTGTCGTTCAGCAAAATTGTAGAAAATGGATATTCTGTACCGATTTTTGACAACCTGTTAGATGGTGCTGTATGAATTTATTTGGAATTTGAGTTTTTTAATATTGAGAGTGGAAGAGCTGAGTGTATTTGACAGTATATTTAAAAACGTTGTGATCATCGATTGAATTTTGGAGTTTTTAACAGACCTCGAAATCGTTGAAATTTTGCATGGAGTCGAGTCGACTCGGAGTCTGGGTTTTAAGATCAGGATGTCCAGAAGAGTGAAATTGGATTTGACTATTAATAAATATATCTTCTAGATCCTGGTGGGTACCTAAGAATCTTGATAGTATCAAGTTGATACCTTGATCTTTTAGTGGCTATAAATATAATCACTATTAATATGCATCATTATAGAGCCAGCCAGTTCTGATGTGGATTCGAAACCCATTAGATTCAAATTCTAATGATTTCAAATCCCAAGAATCAACCTTCAAAGTCTTAAAAAAATGCTCGCTAAACCATCTAAATCGAATACGTTGTGACACTTTCTACCTCCATTCATTCGATACCAAGTCATTCTTTACAAGTTTGTAAGCAAATTCATTTTCTGAAATTAAATATTTGATGACTGATTGAGGATTTATATTAACATTTTATTCCTCTGCTTGTGCTGTTTATTTAATGTAAATCGATATTATTTTCGTTTGGCTTCTTAAGCATCTGAAAAATTGTAGCGTGTGCTGATGTAGCTGATCTTGAAATTTAAGATCAAACAAAGTTTACTTTTTGTATTTTATTTCATCTGCAGATTTATTTCTCGATGATTAAGCTTGTTTATCTTCCAAAGTATGTCCTATTCTGACCTTTAAAACAGCAGAATCATCAAATCAGTTTAAGGTGTGAATATCCAACAATCATCAAACTTCGTCAATAACCCTTAGAATTTTGATCCTGTCGATCAGCATTTTTAAACTAAGATTAAATTTATTCAGGAATAAAAAATGAAGAAGGGATAGTAGAGACAAAAAAAAAAATATCGAAGCTATCCTTATCATCATCCTTTCCTTCCGCTGGATGCTTACAGGCATACAAAGAATCGCTTGAGAATATTTGATGAAAATAGCAAACAAAATAAGGCAATTTCTCGACCTCCTATGGGAATATACACCTATGAATGCAGGGGGAAAAGTTTTTTCAAGGAAGTAAAACTTTCTTATTTTCAACGAGAATCCAAAATCAGACTTTCTTTCATTACATTCAACTTCCCCCATTGCTACACATATAAAATATATAATTTCATACAATTTTACGTTCTAGATAAGAAAGGAAATGAATACATCTTTATACATTCAATATCTAAAAATATGAAGAATGAAGTCGAAATGAGGAAAGAAGAGATGAAACACATGTAATGAAATTAGAGCTTCAGATTGATTTTTATCTGCATAATTTAAGCCCTTGAGGTACAATTTTATGAACTTTGATGAATGGAGAAATGTAAAGGTTAAGAAATGTTCAACATGAGTTTGAGACTTGATAGTCAAAGTTGTGCGAGGAAACGGAAGAGCAAATTCAATATTTATGTGCCATCGTTTTTAAATAAAAGAAGAAATTTGGTGATCATGATTTATTTATGAGGGCAATTTTATTTCTGGAATATTTTAAATTTTCTTTTGCGTTTTTGGGAGCTGAAAAATTGATGATTGTTGTTGGATTTTAATGGAATTGGAATGGTTGATTTGTAAGCGATAAATTTTGTTTTATTCACGTGAAACTTAATGGAAGAAGAGTTTATTATTGAGGGTTTATAAAGGTTATTGTTGTAAGCTCATTAGTTGTAAAATCTGATACTGACTTCTGTGGCTTATTGATAATTCTAATATCAGTTAGCAGAGAGGAGGTTGCTCTTCATCCTAATCCGTGCCTTAATTTATAAAAATCTTGAAAATGTTCAAAACAAAAGTTTACAAAAACTTTGCAACAAAATTGAACCAATTAAAGTTCAGCAAAAAGCCAACATCCCAAAAGCATTTCACAACAAAATTGTAAAAAAAAATAAAATTCCATTGAATTATTTTATGGCTGAAGCTTTAAGAAGCTCATACTTCATAAACCATTCGCATCAAATTTTTTCAAATAAAAAAACAGCAAAAAAATGCGCTATAACTGTATGATGCACATAAAAACTTTAATACCCATCCATCCCCATTGTGCGTGCCGGATTTAAGACTGAACCATACACAAGAAGAAGAAATGCAAAATCGAAAAGAATTTTTATACTTTTTTATTCTCGCGAAATACAGATGAGCATAATGTTATGCCAATGTGGGATTTTATTTGGAAATAAACATTTTTGTACTTTTTTTCTCTTTGCC